CAGCGTGAGCAGTATCTGCTCTGAAACTTCATTATGAGGATGCCAAATGTTCCCTGCACAGCAGAGCCCATGGCAGTGGGAGCTTTATTGTAGTTTCCCTTAGCAAGTGTTGATGGATTTATGGAGGGCTTCATTAAATATAGGCTTAAAGGATATCCGCTATCGCCCACTTGTCAAAAGCAAAAATAATATCAAAGCCCTGCGAGCAGCCCCGAGCTGCAGGTGTTAACAGTGCCCGATAATCTGGGAGTGTTTAAGTCCCCAATTAATCGCAGTAGTCTTGTCTGAGCTCGGCCCTCTCCGAGATAAATTTCCAAGATGAATGCAGCCCGTGGAGGCTGAGGGCACTTGGACCACGATCCCACCGTGCTGATGGTTTGGGGCTGTGCTCTCCCAGTCTGGGGCTGTGTTGTGCTGTCCCACTCTGGGTCTGTGCTGTCCCAGTTTGGGGCTGTGCTGTCCCAACTTGGGACTATGCTCTCCCAGTTTGGGGCTGTCTTGTGCTGTCCCAGTCTGGGGCTGTGCTCTCCCAGTCTGGGACTATGCTCTCCCAGTCTGGGGCTGTGCTCTCCCAGTCTGGGGCTGTGTTGTGCTGTCCCACTCTGTGTCTGTGCTGTCCCAGTTTGGGGCTGTGCTGTCCCAACTTGGGGCTATGCTCTCCCAGTCTGGGGCTGTGCTCTCCCAGTTCAGGGCTGTGTTTCCCTGGCTCTCAGTGGCTCCCTGTCCAGGAATGGGCAGCTTTGGGAGGCTGGCTCTGATTTTGAGGGGTGCAATGCCACACTCCAGGCTCTTTTCAGAGCTGTTAGAGGAACAGTGATGTTTCACAACACCTAACCCACCTCTCTGCCTGGCCCTGAGCACAGGGAATTGTCCCAGTGTAGGAGACAAGTGCTGCACGTTTGCCCTTGGTAACCAAACCCCTTCTCCTGCCTCCCTTACAAACGGGGCAGCTGCAAACACAGCCCTGAAACAAAGCTGAAATCCCATGTGCAACGGGCTGTGCTTCCAGACAAAGAGGGTGCACCCTGGTGTTTGTAAAGCAAGCACTTATGGAATCAGATAATAACAGGTACAAAGAATAATGGCACGACTCAGGCTGCCTGTGGAATTAAAAACATTTTGTTCAGTCATACACCCTTAGTCTGAGCCAACTCCTTTCCTTAGATGTCAGAATTCCCTATATTTTGATACTCATGATTAGGGAAAAAAATAAAGTAAACAAACCCAAAAGTAGTTCCAAAATGGAATTAATCTTTCAGCTTATAAGAAGTCAAACAGGATATAATTATTATGACTTTCCTGTCTGTTCATCAGGGAAAAAAAATAGTCCTATGCATAAAGAGCCCAATTATTTATTTAGTAGCAAAACTATAATGGAAGAAAATTTATAGCATATTGTGCTAAATAGGTAATGAGTACAATTGGCAAATACATGGTCAGAAGCACCAATCCATTGTTTGAGTGGGAACCTGGCAGCAGGACTTGCTCCTTGAAGGAGTACGGGCAGACCCCCAAAATACAATTTATTTCATGTTCTTTGGTCGGTGGAGCTGAGAGACCTGGGTGCATTTGAGGATCAGTGAGGCCCTGGCAGGCCTCAGTGTGGGTGAGGAATTGGTGTCATGGGCAGAGAGCAGGAGGCAAAGCCAAAGGCAGGGGACAGTGCCCTGCACCACAGAGCTGCAGGGGAGGAGTGGGGGAGAAAGGCAAGAGAGAAGGCAGGAAAGGCTTCCAAAAACCAGTGGGAAGCTGAGGCAGAGGCTGATGGACACAGGAATTTCTGGTTGGATTAAGATGTACCTGCAGCCACTTGTGACCATAGGCTGGGCTTTGCCAGGATCAGCTTCCCTTTGTGAGCCTGAACATCACCAGACCATGGGAGACTCAGTCCATAAAACATAAATCCTACTGGTAAAGCAGCATTAAATCATCCCAAAGGTATTAAATCATCCCAATCAACAGCCTGGTACCGTCATCCAACCCTTGGTGTTAAAAATGGGGCTCAGCCTTGGACCTGCCAATAAACCATTCCTGGGTTTGAAATGGGATTTATGGTGTGCAGTGCTGAGAACTGTGGCAGCATCTGATGGACTCTCCCTACAGGACAGCCTCAGAGGGGACCAAGTGGCCTAGCTCTGGTTCTGAGATAAATCACTTGGTGGGATATAAAACTGCTTGCTCTGCTGTTGATTTAATCATCTGGGGAACAAAACAGTCCTCGGAGAAAAAAAAAAAAAAAAGATAATGATTTAATATTCTGGAAAGTATCTCTGCTCCTTCTAATTAGCAGTGGTGCAGTATGAATTCTGGAGCTTGCAGGGCTGCTTTGTGAGCCTCAAGTTCTGTGCTTGCAAAAACAGAGCATCAAAGCAAGCCAGTGGCACCAGGAAAAAACCAAAATCGGTTATATTTCACTTGATTTAACAATTCAAACTTCTCAGAGTGAAGCTGAGGTTTTCCCTTGGGCATTCCTTTTCAATAGGAGAATGAAAATCAAAGACTTGGAAACCAGCAGAGCTCGTACCTGCTGTCAGTGCTGAGGTCACAAGTGAATTCTTTCCAGCAAAACAAATGCTATTCTGAAATATATCAAGGAGTGGGTTTAGTCCTGGTCTAGATCCTTCAGAGTGATTTCCTAACTAAGAATCAGAAGTGTCTCAATATAAGGCAGAAAATCAGAGTGCCCATAAGGGAGGCTTTGAAGGTTTGTTTGGCTCCTCAGGTGCTGTGAGGCTGCAGGGCATCCCTGTGCTCCTCCTTTAGGATTTCTGGGACTGAGTCACCCTACAGGACTCAGTGGTTCCCCCTTCCCATGTTCCTGGATTTTGGAGTTGGGCAGGAATGACGTGGAGGAAGTTCAGCTGCTCCATGTGAAGGGGGGATGTCATGAAGTTCTGTCTGATCACAAAGGTATCTAGGGCCAAAATGTAGCGCTTAAAAGAATGTTGGGTGTTTTCAAACCAGTGCCACTTTCACATCAAAACAAATAAAAGATGGCGTTTGATAAGTTTTATTTTCATTGAGGCTGGAGGCTCAGACTGGCATTTCAGCCTGTACAGCGTTAGGGCACTGGGTTTGTGGGACTGGGAAATAAGAAATTAAAACATGGTATTACTTAATTGAAATACAGTCTAAAAGTCAATCCTACAAACGGTTTTTGTAATAAGACAGCCCAAGCATTGGAAATATCTGTCTAAACAGTCTCAGTACTGGTGCCTGAAACTGCTGTAACTCTTCATTGTCTTGCTGAAATGTCCTCATTGCAAAATGTCAGGATGATTATGCTTCAACTGCAAGGAAAAACATCAAATGACAGTTGCAGGTTTTGTGCTGGTGTAATCCATAGTGTAACGAGATGCTTGAAATCAGAAACAGAAGTTCTGGAGCAATTTCTGCCTAAATTTGCAGAGGATATCAGAATTTGGACCCGGGAACGGGTGTTGAGAGCAGTGGGTGAAGGTCACAGTGCAAGAAGGGTGAGAGCAGCAGCAGCACCAAAAATCCCAGCCCTGTAAGGCGGGTGGGGGGTGGAGCGGAGGGGCTGGGGCTGGAGGGCTCAGCTGCTGAGGCTGCGAGAGAACGGGAAACGAGCACGGGGAAAGAAAGGGCAGGATGGGGAGAAGGGCAGAGCAGGTGACGGCCGAGGGCGGGGCGGGGCAGATGTGGGTAGGGCAGATCAGGGCGGGGCAGATCGGGGCTCATAAGAGCGGGGCGGACCCTACCCGACCCCACCCGGCTCCGCGGAGCTGCCAGGTGCCAGTGCTCGGGGCTGTGGCCGGCGGAGCATCACTCATAGTCCGGTGCGGCAGTGCCCGGTCCAGCTGGAAGCGGAGCGGCGGTGCCCGGTGCTGCCCTGTGCCCAGCGCCCAGCCCGGTGCTGCCCTGTGCCGAGCCCGGTGCTGCGGTGCCCGGTGCTGCCCTGTGTCCAGCCCTGTGCCGCCCTGTGCCGAGCCCGGCGCTGCCGTGCCCGGTGCTGCGGTGCCCGGTGCTGCCCTGTGCCGAGCCCGGTGCTGCCGTGCCCGGTGCGGCGGTGCCCGGTGGAGGCGGAGCGGCGGGCGGAGCGGGGCGGACGCGGCACCTGCGTGCTGGGAGCCGGCGGCTCCGGGCCGGCCCCTCGGCGGTGCCGCCAGACGGCGGCGGCCGGGCTGGGCTGGGCTGGGCTGGGCTGGGCCGGGCCGGGCCGGGCGGCAGCGCATCCCCCGCTCCGCTCCGCCCCGCAGCCGCGGCCATGACCGACAACATCCCGCTGCAGCCCGTCCGGCAGAAGAAGCGCATGGACAGCAAGCACCGCGGCGGGTGAGCGGGGCCGCGCTCGGGCTGTGCGGGGCGGGGGCGGAGGAGGAGGAGGATGATGATGATGAGGATGAGGGGGAGGCAGGCGGGCGCTGACAGGTTGTTCCTGACGCCATTGCCGCGGCACGCCCGGCGCAGGGCAGGATCCGGGCGGGGAGCGGCTCGGCCCGGCCGGCCTGGAGCGCCGGAGCTGCGGACACAGCGGGGCAGCAGCGCCCGGAGGAGCCGTGTTCCCTCCGCCGTGTCCCCTCGCTCCTGCTTGTCACCATCCATCCCCGCTGTGTCGCACGGCCGGGCTGGAGAATCCCTCGGCCGTGGCAGGGGAAGAGCGCAGGAGCATCCATGGTGTGTGTAACAAAGGCCCCGGCTCCATTAACTGTATTAGCACAGCGATACAACATCCTTGCGTGCCGCGTTGCCACAGCCCGAGTGTGCGGTGCGTCGCTAAAGGAGATGTATGGATGCGTTCATCGCGGTATTCCCGTGCAGGAAGTTCAATAAGAAAAATGGTTTTCCAATAGTCTTCCATTATGAAATTGCGCCACAGTGCAGACAGGTTGGTTTGCACACAGCAGGGTGTGCGTGGTATCCAAATCACCTGGCTGTCAATTATTACAGCATTTCATTCGTCCCTGGAGAATGTGGGTTTTGTAAATGCAGCAGCGATGTTAGCAAAATAAACCAAAATATTGAAGGCAATCTTCGTTGTTAGGACAAGGGGAAATACACAGGCTTGCCTTGTTGATGTTTTTGGTTGGCACTTTGGGTTCAGAGTCCTGCAGCTGACATTGTTGTACGTAGTTTATTCAGCATTAGGTCTGTTCCTTGTTGGCAGCGTTGTTTGTGGTACCCACGGCAGGGAGGTGTGTGTGATGCAGCAGCAATCCCCCTGCGTGTGTCACATGCACCACTGAGCAAGTGCCACAAGGTGCAGCCACCATGGCCTTGCATTTGGTGACGTGATTGAAGGCAGCGGGGAGAGGTGAAGGCCTGGGAAATTTCTCCAAGCTGCTGGAATGGTTTGTTTTCCTGGAGTTCTCTAATCTCCAGCAAGAGCCTCTTGGGTGTTCCGATGTGGTTAGTGCTGCCTAGCAGAACCTGCCCTCGGCTAACCCAAGCTATGGTTCATTGCCTGTGGATTCTGCCTGATTAGCAGCCACAGAGAGGCTTTCCTGTGGCAGCAAAAAAATTCCAGCAGCATGGGAAGGAAGCTTGCCTAGGGTTTTTACTCAATAGCAGTTGAAATAAATTGGATTTGGGGTTTCTGTTTGGTGGAGTAATTGTTTAGGGGTAGGATTTGTCATACATGAGGAACCCTTGTTTTAGTGATGGTATTTGATCAAGTGATGGATAACAAAGTGTTGAAGTCAAGCCCATCCAAGCCAGTGTTATAAACCATAGAAGAAATCATCCAGCAAGCTGAGGGATCCCTGGTGTCACAACCAAAACAGAGTCCTGGGAATCTTAAGCCATAATCAAGGCCTCCTTTCTTCTGTTCCCTCTGAGGAAAAACCCATGCAAAAGCTAATTTATGTTCCTCAATGCTTACGAAAACTCAGGATAAGCAAAGAGTTGATGGGCTTCACTTTACCATGGCCCCATCTGATTTCTGCTGTGGGGATTCCTCCTCCAGTGGGGTGAGTTTTCAGATAGATTTTTGTTGGTGTGGTCTTCTAGAGTGGGGAGCAGATTTCTGGTCATGAATGGCTCTACAGAAATCTTTGTTTCTGTTAAAATAAAAGTGAGAAATGCCTAATTCACCTGTAGGGCAGGTGCCATTCACCAAGGTTTTCATTACCTTCAGCCTCTGGCATGCTCTGTAAGGAAGCCAGGGAGGATCTGGCTCAGTGGCCTTGAGATGAGTGATGGCTCACACAGCTCAGGTCTGTGTTGGAGAGAAGCCACGTGCTTGATGAACCGAGTGGGAGAAGTGGGGATCTGCTCCTGAGCACAACTTCAATGTGGCTCTTCCTGCTCCCATCAAAGGCTGAGCTCTGAATTCCTGTGCTGTGTGCCTTGAATGTTCATCCCGAGGCTTTGCAGCACTCTGGGAATCTGTGAGCACTGTGCTGGTGAGGGCAGGATGGATGAACTGCAGCAGTGCTGGGATGGAAGGGAAGGGAATGGAATGAGAGTGAGCCTGAGCTTCCCAGGGCCCAGTTCTGCCAGGGAGGGAGCTGCAGGTTCCTGGAGTACCCCGGGTGCTCTGCTCAGCACATGACACGAGTCTTCCCCTAAATAGCTCGTGGTGTCAGCCCTCCATCCTGCAAGGCTCCTTTTAAAGCAGCACACTGCTGCTGCCGCCTGGAAAAGGGCTCCGTGCAGAGCTGCGGGAGAGGGAAGGAGGAGCTTTACAGGAACCCTGGATGGGGCTGTGCCATTGTGCTGCCTGTGTGCTCTGGCTCTGTTTAAAATGGCAAATTCCATTTCAGAGTCAACAGAGAAGCCGGGGCAGCTCCTGCCCTCGCTGTGCCAGTGTGGGTGTGCCTTGGCACGGGCAGGGCTGCCTTCCCCCAGCCAGGCTGCAGGAATTGCAGCTCTCCTGGCTCCTTCCAGAGCCATCCCAGCTGCACAGCCTGCAGCTGGAACGTTCCAGAAGGTTTCATCTGGGGTGGCTCATGTGCAGGTGCATAAAAGGGCCAGGTGGTCGTGCGTGGCTCTGTCTGCAAATGGAAAATTTGTCCTGTACTTTTGGAATAATGCCACGTGGGGGTTGGTTTGTGTGTTAAAGGTGCCAAGCACAGCCCGTGAGGGCCATAGAAACAAAGTCTGAGAAATGGGCTTGGTTTGGAAGTGACTGAATATGTCTGTGAACATCAGCACTAATTTGACAAATGCTACCTCAGTATTGCACAAACGTGGCACTTTTTTCCCCATTGGGTTTGTTTTACATGGAAATATTTTTCATTTGATCTTCAAATACTCCTCAGTCAAACATGCTGCATTTGGAAATAAAACCTTCTTCTTGCTAGTGGCTGTTCACCTGGCAACTGGCAGTCAGTGTGCTGTGTTACTGCCTCTTACATCATCACTGGGAACGTGGTTTTGTAAGCAAATACAATCCCAGGTGAAGTGCAGAGCAGACCTGTTCTTCAGTGCCTGCTGCTCATTTGGATCTCTCTGCAGAGCAAGGGCAGCATCACTTACAGGACTGAGCTTCAGGTACAGTCTTCATCCAGACAGATTCTTTTCAGTGCTTGTGACTCTGTTTGAGGATTTGTGAGTTTGTTTCCTGTTGTTATTTTTGCCGAGTTATGATTTAAAATGTGAATTTCACGGTGCTGTATAAGCTGTCTTCATGATATTTCTTTAAGGTGGTAATTTTTAAAGTCCATTATTTACCCTCACTCGCTAGTTTTCTATATTTCAGGGGTTATTGCAGGATTGTTCTTCAGTTGCAAAATGGAGACGGAGAAATGTTCAGGAACGTGTTCCTAGACTTTTATAGAAAACTGTTTACATTTGTGTAACTTTGTGATTCCTATTCTTGGAAAGTGCACGTTAATTTTATCAGCGTTTCTCAGCAGCAGTGTAAACTCTCAGCTGTTTTTCTGGACAATCTTTCCCTTTCCAGGATGCAGATTTCATGATGGAAAACATTTTATTACTCCTCATAATGCAAATAATTCTCTGCCAGAAACTTCTTCCTTTGCCACTGCCTTAGCTCTGAGCAGAGAATTTTTTCCCTCATCATCTGCATCTCTAAGCCTGTGACTTAAAAATTAGGGTGGTAGCCAGAGAAACAGCAGATCACAGAACTACACAATGCCTGCAAAATTCTTGCAGGGAGGAACAGATAAAGTAACTGGAAAAAGCTGACAGCTCCAGTCAAAGGGAGTTTTTATTTAATGGGCACCAAAGCTAATCTGAAAACACATTTGTATGTGCTCAGAGTAGTTTGTTTCTGGTGCCTATATGGATAGATTTTTTCTTTTTTACATTAAAATTATTCCATTTCCAGTGGAGAAAGGGAAAAGGAGAACTAATGATCTTACCGATTCTTCCCCAGTTAAGTTTAAGACATCACTGAAAAATATAAAAATAATTAAAAATTAAGGCAATTGGCTGCCTTTGGGAGGAGTGATAAACACCTGCCTGCAAGAATGAGCACATGGTTCTGTGCTTGAGAAATTACTCTGTCCTTACCAAAACTTCATTTTTAACCTATTTCAGCAATTCATGGACTGGCACTTGAGCAGTTGTTGTGAGATACTTTTCCTACCAGTGCAGGGTTTGGGTGGTGGATTGCTCTGTGCCCACCCAGCCAAGCACAGGAGGGGAAAACACGGTCACAGGGTAGGTGAGGGTTAAACAGCAGCGCTGGGGTCGAGTAGGTGCCTTCAGAACAAAAATCTGGGAAGGTTTATGGGGTAAAAGTCAGGATTTGCTGTCATGGTTTTCAGCCCCTGGCACGGGAGCTGCTGGCTGTGATGTAATGGGATTCCTGAGCTGGGATTCCTGAGTGCTGAGGAACCTCCCCAGGTCAAGTGTTGCAATGTGGGGCTCTCAGTGCTGGTTGTATTATTCTGTCCATTGGTGATTTTTTTTTTTTAAATTATAAATACTTAGCAGAAACTTCATGCTGTAAAGGTTGTGTAGGAAATTGCCAGCAGAAATGTTGCATATTCTTTACTCGGCCATCGATGCTCCTGATATTTGCCTTCAAAACTTGCTAGGCAGGAAGTTTTTCTTTTGTTTGTCTAATTAGGTTTTCAGTTTGCTTTCCCTGTAATTCAGGAGGTTGCAAAAACTGACTCCAGCCAGGCAGGGATTTCACACACCTGTTATTTTTTACTCAGCACATTCTCCCGTGCCCTTTCTTGCTTATTCGTGGAGCTGCATTATTTTTAGGTTGTTTCTCAAACCCTGTAGTAGCACAGCATTGGTAAATTACCATTCCTACAGCAACAAGTTTGTTTGTGGTGGAAATGCTACAAGGGCTCAGCCTATTGTAAATATTATGGTACAGGTGTGGGGGAGTTTTTCTGTTGAGTACAATCCCTATAAGAGGCCCAACCTAAAAAATAAACAAAGGTAAATGGTTTCAGATGTCTGATTGAAAGGACTGACTGATTTTTTTTTTTTTTTTTCCTAACTGGAAAGCACATTGTGATGAAATAGGGTGTGTGGACACCAGATCTGCTCCCTTGGGTAAAGCTTCTTTTTGGAACCCTTTCTCCTTTGTGAAACAAGGAAAAGCACTTTTTTTTTCTCCTTTTTTTTTTTTTTTCTGTAGAGCATATCTATATTCTCTTGGAATCCAAATACCACCATTTCCACTACTTTCTATTCTAATATATTTTTCTATTTCTAATATATTCTAATACACTTTCTATTTGAATATATTTGGGATGTAAGTGGCTATTTGTCTTGTGTTTGCAGGTGAAGACCTAAAAGCAAACTACATTTAAAAAGCACTCAGCTCATAAAATACACTTTTCTAGTAAAGTTTCTGAATTGGACTGTTTAAACACCAATTTTGCTGGTTGTCTGGTCTTGGTAACCAACTGATTTTCAATGTGGAATTTATTCATAAGAGCTCTGAAGCTTTTGGTGACCAGTCTGGCTGATGCTGGCTCTCCTAAATGTCAGAGAAATTCAATAGGTCTGTTCTTAAAGGAACAAGGGCATTGGGATGAGACTGGCTTTCAGAAAGCAGCAGTGAGCACAGAAAAATGCTCTTTTTGGGATGTGGGAGGTGATTTTGAGCAGAGAGGCTTTTTCAAGGTGCAGGAAGGATGGCTGAGCCATCTTTGCATCTTTCCTGGAGGACCTGACCTCGGTTGGATTCCATGCCTGGAGTAAGGATTTGTGACATGGGGCAGGGCAGGGTTTTCTCCACCAAAACTCGTGTGAGCAGAGAGCTGCTGAAGGTCCTGGGAGGCACCTGGGGCTGCAGGGGGGTGTGACCCCATGTCTTGGTTTAATTTAATTTGTCGGCCAATGCACTAAATAACGTTATAGTTTTGATTTGCCAATTTAAATATACTCGTTTTCTGTTGTGAGACAGAGCCAGGAGCAAAAGCAAGGCAGGCTTCAAACTTAAAAAGGTATAAAAAGAAATGTATTAACTATATAAAGAAAAAGAAAACAGCAAATTCAGAATAAGATCTTGAGACCACTCCCTCCTCCCTTTTCCCTGTTGTTGTTTTTTTTTTTTAACAACAACATACAAAGATGCTTCAGTCAGAGAAAAATTCCTTTAAGTCTGCTCAGCCAGATGTAACCAACACACCCACAGAAGTGTGCTAGAAATTAACTCATTAATTAATTAATTCCTGGTCCTTCTGCAGGTGCTGTGAGTGCTTAAGATGCTGTGGGAGGAGAGAGCCCAGGCCTCGGACTGTGTGGCTTGGCCACCCAGAGAAGAGAGACCAGAGGTACCCTCGCAATGTCATCAACAACCAGAAATACAACTTCTTCACCTTTCTCCCTGGGGTAAGCAGGAGTAAAGTTGCTTTTCATCATCCCACCCCAATGCTTGCCCCCGTTTTTCAGTAGATAAGTGCAGAATCTGGAGCTGGAGAAAATGATGGGGTTGTGTTTGGTTGGCTTCTGGCAAAATCTGCCTCAGGGCAGCAGCCAAGCAGCCACAGAACTGTCCTGAGTGTCCAGGACTGCTTTAAAGCTGCCCCAAGCCAGCGTTTAGTCACTAGGGGAGCATGCAGAAATGTTCCTGGTGGTTACTTCAACATGCATAACATCCTCCCTGCTCTTTCTTTTTTTTTTTCTTTTTTTTTAGGTGTTGTTTAACCAGTTCAAATACTTCTTCAACCTTTATTTCTTGCTCTTGGCCTGCTCTCAGTTCGTGGTTGAGATGAGGCTTGGTGCACTTTACACATACTGGGTTCCTCTGGTAGGTCGTTCAAGCTTTATTTATCCAAGAAAGTTTTGGTGTTTGACAAAATTTCTTGTGCTGCTTTTTTCTGTGGGGTGTAAGTTTACACCTTAAATAATATTTTAACTTGCTTCCTGAGGCCTGTGCTCTGCATGTTGTGGGGTTTAGACTTTCAGTGCAGTGAGATCCCTGGTGAAAGCAGCTTTGGGACACTGCTGTTAAAATTTTGTTTTAAAACCTGGATCTCCATGAATTCTCTCTCAAATGCTGTATTGCATTTGCTATGTGAATCTGCTGCTGGTTTCACAGGATCCTGTCCTGTAAATTAAATAAATTAAAAAGAAATGACCACAGAGGATCTCTCTCTGTTGTACAGGCAGTTATGACTTCTCTGTGCCAGGTGAGCAATTAGAATTTGCATATGAGCTGCCAGAAAGTAGGATAAGAAAATTCCTTGATTATTACTGCTGCTAGTACAGGTGTTGGGGCTGGAATGACACATGAGGTGACACAGTCAGTTGTGGGAATATTTTGGGGTCATTATTTGAAGGCTTTTCAAACAGCTGAATCCTAAGTTGTAAATAGCTGCTGCTTTTTTAGTTTTATTTTGGAAAGCAGGTAGGAATTTCAAGGTAAATGAACAAATGCATTTCATTACTATATTAATTAATTAGGTCACACATTTAGATGTATATGTACATACTGAAACCTGCAGTTTCTGACATCACCTTGCTCCCTTCTTAAAGTTCCTTATTGACAGAGGTGATCAGTACCTGATTGCAACTTTCAACACAAGTTGTGAAAAGTTCATTTTCTGTGATGCATGAGGAGTGTTTTAATTATTTAATGAATCTGAGCTAATAGTCTCTGTTAGAAACATGACTTTGTGAGATCAAGCCCATAAAGAATTGGTTTACATTAATTAATAATTTTTTCTATAGTCAAGGATGTGATGTGGGCATTTCCTCATGGCAAGAGGAAATGAAGTGACTGCTCATATGCACAGAAAAGTAGGACTGAAGCCTCAGTCAGGCAAACATGTAATTATACCATGAGTAGTGCACATAAATATCTTGAGAGTGTCATTTGCGTAGGTGGAGTGTCTGTATACACACTCATGAGGGCACATGCATTCTCTGATTATCTGTATATGTAAAAAGGGGGTTATACAGATTTCTGTGTACATTTCTATTCAAAGAAACGTCCCAGAGGAGTTGTGCTGACTCAGTGGCCCTGACGTGGTGAGCACTGAGATTTGAGGGGTCCTGCCTTACCTTGGATTTCTCGGTCTTAGTTACTCAGCTGCGAGGTGAAATGAGATATGGTACTTAAAAACTTCACAAAGATTTTCATGGGGATAACCTTTACCGAGATTTGCCTGGGGAATTACGTTTCCAAAGATGTGCTTGGGGACATCACTGTGCTAAAACTGGGAGGTTTCTTAAGCAGCGAGTCTGTTTTTAAGCAGCTGCCGTGTGTTTGGTGCTGGGGCTTTGCACATCTCCCTGTACTGATCCAGGCAGATCAGCTCGAGTAAGGAAATGCAGATCGCTGCCGTTGGCACCGATAAATATTGCTGTTATTGGAGGCAGATGTGACTTTTTTCGCTGACCTTTTGATCCCTGCTGTTTTCCCCCGTGCTGCTGGCAGGGGTTCGTGCTGGCTGTCACCGTGATCCGCGAGGCTGCCGAGGAGATCCGATGCTACATGCGGGACAAGGAAGTGAACTCGCAGATCTACAGCAAGCTCACAGCCAGAGGTCGGCTCCGTGGCTCCAGACCCCAGCCCTGCTGCCAGCCAGAGCCACACTTGGGGCCTGGGAGGGGGCTGGGGGGCTCCCAGGCACGTGGCTTTGTGGCCACGCTGCTGCTGCTGGGTGGCTCCTCAGCAGGCTCTGCTGGAGGCTGGGGTTTGCTCAGGAGTTCGTGGAATGGTTTGGGTGGGAAGGGATCCTAAAGGTCACCCAGTGCCACCCCTGCCATGGCAGGGACACCTTTCACCGTCCCAGGTTGGCCCCAAGCCCTGTCCAAGCTTGGGGCATTGCAGGGATCCAGGGGCAGCCACAGCTGCTCTGGCATTTCTATTCCTCCCCACCCTAAAAAGACCCTAAAAAGACCTGAGGTGTGTGTTTGTCAGCAGAAGTGATGCAGTTCCTCAGGACTGGCAGGATCAGCTCCTGCATTTCCTGTGTCCATCCCCTGAGCCTCCTGTCCAGCCCTGCTTTGTGAGTGAGCCCAGCCTGGGGCTCAGCTGAGCCTGACCCTGCTCTGGCCATTGTTTCCAGCTGTGCTGTACCTAACAAAGACATTTAAATTCTCATTTCAACAATCCAGTGCTGCCTCACTATGGAGTTACTGCTAATATCATGACAAAGATGGTGAGGCCAGGGTTTTGTTTTTTTTAAAAAGGGAATGAACGGAATTTGAGCAAGTTTGGGTTCTTCTCCATTTCCAGTTTCTCAGTTATAAAAGTTCATGCCCCTGAATTAAGATGCAGTGATGTAGGTGTAGTAAAAAGAAGCTGTATTTGTAGGAATAAGGCTGCTTTTCAAATGTAATTGCCTAAGGCTGGATATATTTCACATGCCAGGAGTTATGAGGCAACTCCAAACTGGGGAGTTTGAGTTTGTGAATATTAAATCCCCTTTTAATAACGTGTTCTTACTACAACACTTAAAATGCTTGGCAACCAACAAAAGCCTCATCCAAGAGGGGAGTACTACATCTATTTAAAGATATAAAAGAGTTGCCTTCTGGATTCTATTCAATGATCTATAAGGGGCCTGACCTCTCCTTTAGTTCTTTTCATATTGCTATTACGTTTCCCATGAATGATTTCCCTCCCCCAGTCCTTTAACTTTTCTAATTTTGTGAAAGAAACCAAGGAGGATTGGCAGCTGGGCACTAGCTGACAATTTCAAGCCACTGTATTTAACATGAATTTTGTGCAGAAACAGGAATGGGACTCTGGTATAGTTTAGAGTAGAAAAAAATGTAGAAAATTATTTATGATTGTCTGGTTTGGGGAGAAAAAGTAATTTTCTGTCCCTCATTGAATCTCAGTACCGAATTTTTTGGGAGAGCTGATCATCTCCTTTTTCACTGATTAGAAACTCAGCACCTCTGGGAATTACCTGGGAGCAGGGAAGGGCCTGGTGAGGCTGGGGATGGAAATTTGGGGTTTGATTTCTCTCACCCCTTTGTACAGTCAAAGGAGCCAGGTTTGCAAGGGAGGGTGTCAGCAGCTCAGAAGTAGAAGCAGCAAACGCGAAAATAAATTTGGAACAGCTGATCTGAACAATTAATTTTCAGAGTAGCTGGCAGTAGGACTTGGGCTGTTTAGAGGTTATTTCTTTTTTTGCTGCTGTTGAACAGCACAGGTCATGCTGCTGGGTTTTGGCACAGCCATGTACTGAGACCTAATGACAAAAAAACCTCCACCCTAAACCTTTTTTATCTTTTTACCCAGACAATCCATTTATGTTCCAAAATGATGAAAACAGCAGACTTCTGGAAAGTTTTTTTTTTTTTTTTTTTTTTTTAGTGGAAAGCTCTGCATTTAAAGGACAGTTGTTTGGATTGTTATAAAAAATAATCAAATTTCAATCCCCTATTCATAAAGCCACAAGCCTCCCTGTGTTCAGGGGTCTGTGTTCTGATCTGCTTGATGGAAAGCTCGAACTGTGCTTGCAAATTCCTGGCTTGTTTTTCTTCTCCTGCAGCCCCCCTCCCTGGGTAACACTGCATAATAGAGAGAAACTCCACAGAAAAGTGGGAAGGGACCTCCTACTGAGGGATGCTACTTAAGATACAGATCATTGGCATTTACCAGCCATAAAAAAACCAATATTTTCCCAAACTCTACAAGTCCTGCTCCTTTTTTGCAAAAGCCAAAAGTTTGGTGCAGCACATCAAACCAACCCACCCCCTCTTCTTTTTTTTTTTTAATTTTTCAGATGCATTTCGCTTGTTTTAGTAAACCTCTGGCTTCATCTTTAATTCCAAATTAAGTGTTTGGATCTGTACTTCAGTGCAGCTTTGCAGATTTTTGTGAAATTTTGACTTAAAAAAGGCCGTCTTTTCTGGCTAATATATTTATTACTTGAAATGATCCACTTTTTGGTACATCCATCATGCTGCAGATTTGGTGATAATTTCAAAGGCCATAGCTTAAATTAGGGCAAACTGTTTGCATTTGATTATGTTTACTTTCTTTTCTTTAAGAAAGATAAATCAGGATACAGCAGAGAATGAAATGAATACCAGACAAATTTTAACAATAGATTTTTTTGAATGAGAGATCAAGACTAGTTCCTTTTTAAAAGTGATAAACATCAATTTCTATTCTGATTAACGTAAGGAAATACAAACTGAAAATTATATAAATGCTAAATAAACCTGTGTGAGTTTAGAGGAAGCATTTCTAGTCTCACTTAGAAAAACAGGAGTTTATAATTACGAAAATACTTAAATAGCAGAGCACTACTGGGACATGGAACAGTTGTGCTATTAGCTGCTTTTAAACATGCATGAGAAAGCATCCAATGTTTAGGTGGCAGTTTCCCCACAGAAAGAAGAGGGAATTACAGAATTCCCAAGATCAAAATAAAACTAATTCAAGTAAGTTGCTTTATGGGAGTCCTGAGTCAAAGGAAACATCTGGTGCTGGGCTTTCTTAGCAGGACGTGTGGTGCACACTGCAGGGATGTCACCCACGGGGCCAGGGAGCTGCAAAAGCAGAATTAGCTACCTAAAAAAAGGCATCTCATTTATCCAGCAGTTAGAAAAACTGTGCTGCTTAGCAAGGTCCCCTCTTTGTTTTACCCTCCCAACAGCTGAGGTTGGGAGGCTTCTGAACAAGACAAATCTGCTCCAGCTGCTTTGGGTTTTCTCATATTGGAAAATTTTTGAAGCAGATGATCCTGTTTGCAGAATAATGATCCCAAAAGCCTTTTATGTGGGTAATGATAGGAAATCATCACATTACAGCTTTGTCCAGGCATTAATTTTTCTTTTGCAGAATGATTTTTTTTTTTTTACCTCGTTAAGGAAAACCTTACCAAAATAAGTTTCCCTGAACCCTGCAGGTAGCACTGCTTTGCTGACAGTCACCAGATAAATCCTTGTGATCTTTGAGAGAATAGAGAAAATATGGTTAAACAAATCCACAGCTTTTTTGCACATTGGGTTGGGAATGGCTGTGCCTGTATAGGGGAGAGCACACGGCTTTTTTTTTTTTGCCCCCCCCCTTTCCTTTGCACGGGAGAATATTCAAAAGCACTTTTTGTTGTTTTGTGAATAACCGTATTAAAAGGGGAGGAAGAGATGTTATCTGTCAGACCCTTTTAGTGTCATAGTACCTAACTTTGTATAGCCCATACAGAAGACTGCCAGGGATGCTTTTTTTGATCCTCTTGGAGTGCAGCTTTTCTTTTCAAGCCCCAGCGTAATGGACTCTTAATCCCCGGTTTGCTTCCTGCCCCGGCAGAGATGTCTTTAGCCCAGCATTCGTTTTGTTTACCTTTTTTTTTAATTTTTTTAACCAAAAAAAAAAACTTAAAGAAAGCACTTCACAAGGCAAACTCCAGAATCCACAAAAGACCTATGAGATATTTGTGAAATGGGCCATGACTGCTTATAATTTGTAGGAATAATTACAGCCTGCAAGGAAGTCTGCATTTATTAGCAGCAGTGATGAAGCATGTTGTTAAGCACACAGTGTGTCACCAAAGCAGCAGGCTGCCCCCAGCCCAGAATGGCTTTCATTGTTAATTTGGAGCAGAAACACTGAAGCATATCCTGAGAAGGATGCTAATGAAGGGACTGCCAGTAGTAAAATCCCAGTGACCTTTGTGCTTTGTGCTAATTTCTATTCCCCCTCCCTTCCCCCTCCTGCTTTCCCCCTGAGCTGCTATCTGGCCAGTTAGCCCGTGAATTTTGAGGTACAGTAGGAGTGTTGTCCGTGCCAGGGTGAGCTCCACGTGCCTCCCCCACTTCCACTCAAATCACAGCAGATTAAAGAGGCTTTTGTTGAAATATAACAGACACATAGAGGCAGGGTTCAAATTAACTGATTATAAATCACTAGTTAGTCTGAGAAGCCAAATCTAGAGCTGGCTAATGATTTGAAATTACTAGCCAATTGTTAAATTAATCCCCTGTTTTAAAGCAACTGGGAAATGTTTGACAGCTGCACAGGAATAAATATTTACATGATTTCTGCAGGACCTGTTCTCTGCTCGTTTGGCTGGTCCTGCAAGAGGCAAAGGAGAGGTGGCAGAGCTGAGCCAGATGCTGGAGCTGCAGCAGGGCAGGAAATGAGCCTGGATTTTGGATGGACCCATTGTGCTTTCAGCTTGGCTTGACAGTCGAGCTTTACATTTTCAGGCACCTGAGGAAAAGGAGTTGGATTTGATGGTTCCCTGCTGTAACTTTCTGTTCTTGCTCTGTTATCTGCCTGATGCTGGAAGTATTTCTGAGTTCCTGAGTTAAGCAGTACAAAAAGGAGTTTAAGGGGTTGTTGCAGAGTTATGATTAGGGAGTGGCTGGGGATTTCTGGAGCTGTCACATGAGGGGCTTTCAGCCCTTTTTGGGAGACCCAGCCCTTAGCTGGGAGCAGTGGGCTCAGGAAGTTTTACAGGGCAGCATTGCCCAGTTCCTGTGGTGGAAACATTTCCCATTTTCACCCCCATAGTGCAGTGGAAGGAAGGGAGGGGAGGAGCAGCACAGAGCACCTCAAAGCCTGTCCTGCTCTGCTCTAACACCAACGCCTTTCCTTTGCAGGGACTGTCAAGGTGAAGAGCTCTAACATTCAAGTGGGTGACCTCATCATTGTGGAAAAGGTTTGTCTTCATAGTCATCTTCCTGTGCACTGGTGGGGGGGTTTTTAATTTGGTTTTTTTTTTTGGCAAGACCTAAGAAAGTGAGATCTTTTGAATTCCTACTTAATTTACAATAGGCTTAGAATATCAGGTGTTGAACACAAGTTAAAATATTTAATCACTTTACAGGGTTCCCCCACTTGCCAATAACATTGTTATCTTTAGAAGTGAGGGTAAATCTGTAGGCATGCACCTATAACCTCATTTTTTACTTATACTGTAGCATGATAAAGAGCTTCCCTATCCTTTCTGTGACTGTTGGACACAGGTTAAATACCTGGAACAAATGCAGCATCCAGGTGTTTCTTTGGGTATAAGCATTGCAGTTTTGGGAGCCCCAGTGGACCATTTGTAGGTACTGGTATATACAGGTATACTTCCCTCTTTTTACAACTTTTAATGTGTTTTTTTTGAGCCCACTGATTTTATGTTTTTCCCACCCACTCTCTGCGTGCAGCTATGACCTCTAAAAGCATTAGTATGAAAATAGTAAAAAAAGAGAAACTTGGTAGTTGCGGATTCCAGATACAACCTCTCTACTAACATGGGACTCCTTGAAAGGAAACCAGCACTCGTTTAAGATTTCTTCATACTTCTAGAATTACTCTCCAGCCCTTTTGTAAACCTAACCCTTGGGTCTGGTCAGTGGGAGCTGGCACCAGTTGTTATCCTGCACTTGGAATTCTGCAGGGAAGCGAGTTCAGGATTCAAAGCAAACTGAATCCAAGCTCCAGGCTGACAAAAGAATCCTCTTTGTGCCTTTGCTGCTCTAGGCAGGGCGCTGCACACTCGTGCAGGGCTGGCTGCACAATCATGGCCTTTCTTCTCCTCCCAGAACCAGAGGGTCCCTGCTGACATGATCTTCCTGAGGACGTCGGAGAAGAATGGTAAACATCTGGAACCAATTGTCAAAATAGCCATTAACCTTTCACTGGTTGTTTGGAGAAAATTATCTTTTGGAAATGTGGGAGAAATAGATAATAGTAAAATTTTAGAGAGAGAGAGAACTCAAGTGGCTTTATGGACCACCACTTCTCAGGATGTTAAATTCTAGTTTTGTTTGATAATCAAAGATTGTAGGGGTTGAGTCCAGGGTAAATGAATCTTGCATTTTACATGTTTTTGTTCAGGCTTGGTTTTTTTGAGTGTGGGATAAGGAAATGTTTGATCAGAAGGATTAGAAAACAGATTAATGGGAACATTTCAAGTGTCTTTAAAAATATAGCACAGAGAATTCTGGCCTAGTGGTAATGGAAGGAATGTGGTGCAGGAACATCACCCTTCCATTATTAACAAATATAAACCAGACACTGTTTCCAGAGAAAGGAGAGGAGGATCCTAGAAGGGAAGCCATGCCATGGGTTGTGTAGATGTGCCTAGGGCAGAGTGGAAGGATCCCTGACTGCTGTTCCCATCCCCAGGGTCCTGCTTCCTTCGCACAGACCAGCTGGACGGGGAGACAGACTGGAAGCTGCGCCTGCCCGTCACCTGCACCCAGCGCCTGCCCACGGCCTCTGTAAGCTCCTGCCTGCAGCCCTGTGCTTGGCAGCTGTGCACATGCAGCACCTGCAGACCTGGGGCTGCTGCAGTCCTGTTTGCAGGCTGCAGTCCCTTTTCTGGGGCACAGACACCTGGTGAGTGCCAGGAGTCTGTCAGGTGTCACCGCAGGAAATCCTCCCTGCACTGCTGCCCCAGGTGTGTTTCCTGTGGGAACCTTGGGCTGCTGTAGCTATCAGGATAATTCTAAATCATGCTAAGTAACTCTTGGTGAAATATTCTGGTAAAACTTTTGTCCATTATTAAGCTGTGGCTGACTGATAGGAACTGATAGATGTGTCTGTTTGATAGGACCTGCTGCAAATCCGCTCCTATGTCTATGCAGAAGAGCCCAATATTGACATCCACAACTTCGTGGGGACCTTCACCAGGGTGAGTCTGCTGGCACGGGCTTGAATTCAACCAGAAATTCATCAGGGTTTATGGAAATCCTCCATCCTAACAGAAATCCCTCTGCCAACTCACCCAGCATCCCTCTCCAAACACCTCTGTGACACTCTTCTCATCCTCTGCTCTTTTGTATTACTAACAAGTTTATTTTTTTCTTCTTCCTGTTGTAGGAGGACAGTGACCCTCCAGTGAATGAAAGCTTAAGCATAGAAAATACCCTGTGGGCCAGCACAGTGATTGCATCAGGTAAGCTGGAGACCCACGTAAAATTGTTTTTAAGGGAATATGTTAGCAATTTTTAAAGGTATTTCTGTGATGGAATAATAATTCTGTCAGTTGGAGAAAATAGCAGTTGAAATGAGGTTTTCCCCCTTGTCCTGACACCTCTGGGGAGCTGAGCTGACATCTAATTGCCTCTTGGACATTCCTAGATGAGAAAGAATTGGAGTGGCCTTTGGGGCCCTTCTTTAGCATCTAGGAGCAGAATAGCACTTAATTACTGTGCACATTGACATCCTAATCTGTAACAGAAATGGTGTCAAATGGATTCTGGGAACAGAAGCTGAGATGAAAGATTTCCAGGTAAGTGCTTCCATTGAGTTTGTCCTATCTACTCTTAAAAAAGGAAAAAAAAATCAAGTCTTTGACAGATTCTGACTCATAGATAGGATAAACTCCCAAGGTCTGAGATTAATCAGTGCCCCCTTGTAGAGGCTTGTCAAAGTAAAAGTTCCTCTCGTGCCCTGTGTCTTTGCAGAGTTTGCTGGGCAGTAGCTGGAGGAGAGTGGAATTCTGGAGTCCTGTTCTGGAATTAAACTTGTCAAGTGGAGAGACTTGACAGTGCATTTGCAAATATAATTTCAAAGGATTTCTGCAACTGAGTGTTTGAAATGGTCACAAACCAACTAGAAACACTTCTTTTTTACAGATTAATGTGTCTTCAAGCTTTTAGTAGTCCTGGCAGGTGCTTCCTCTCATCTTGACTGACTTATCCATACAATACTCAATTTTGTTTCTCCCGTGGTAATAACAAATAGCATGTTGTAGGTTATTTCTGTTAGGAGAAAATGTGAGTATTATTTTTCTTCTGCTGTGAGTGGAAGCTGTGGGGTTGTGGTGCCATCTCACTGGGGCAGCCCCTCTAAGATGAAGCAGAGCAATGTGTCTTTTCTCCATCTGCTACAGGAGGGCTGGGTCTGACTCTGTTTGCAGTGGATTTGGAGTAGCTGTGCCATCTGCTGATCTGAATTGTGATGATCTTACCACCACCTGCCATCTGGCTCCAGAGACTTGTTGTTGTTTTTGGGGGTAGTTTTTTTTTAAAGGAATGTTTCTCAGCATATTTTTAGAAACCACCTCTCTTGAATCAACCTTATTTAAAAATAAGTCACTTGCAGTTTGCTCAGACTTGGATCTTTAGTGAGAGCAGGGGAATAGTAGAGTATAAAGTAGCAATGTATTGGCAGTAGTGCTTTTTTTAGATTGGTTTTCTCCAATTTTACAGACTCCTAACACTGGGCAATAGCAGCTTTTAAAACTGTTGATGGTAGATAAGTTTTTCTTCATGGCTCTTTGCAAAGTCTCTAAGAGAAAACCCATAGAATCCCTGTAATTTCTGATGCTAAACCAAATAATGTTTTTGCAAGAAGAAAATGGAGAACTTTGCTCTCAGCTCTGTAGCAACTGTGGGACAGAGCATTCAAATTCACTGATGGGCTCCCAGCAGCTCCATCTGTTACAGGAAGGTAGGAGTTGGTATGATTCACTTTGTGGTAGGAACAGTATTTAGATGAACACTTAAAGTAAATTGTAGACTTTAAAATAAGGTAATTCTGTCCTTGAGCTCTGGAATTCATTGAATTTGCTCTGATTACCAATAAACAGCCATAGCCCAGAGCTGGTTTAATTTTGACACACAATGAAGGTCTGGTGGAAGGCAGCACCAAAGTGGGATTCCAAGTGGTGGGAGGAAATCCAAGAATTCCTCCATCCCTACCAACTTTTATTTATAGTGTGGAGAGACAAGTGGATCAAAAGGGGCTCGGGGAAAGTAGAGCAGAGCTGGCTGCTCTTCCCATGAGCTGATGGAGCCTTGATGCTGCATCAAGTGCAGCCCTGAGACTGAATTGCTGCCTGGGAGGATGTTTGCTGTCCCAGTCTGTTTTCACAGGTGTTGTGTAGCAGATAGCACTTTTTTGAATTTCTGGTTGCTTTTGAAATTAGCCTGCTGAAAATCCTTCCCACCTGACAAGAATTTTTATGGAGAAAACCTTTGTTTGTGCAGGTACTGTGGTGGGAGTTGTGCTCTACACAGGAAGGGAACTGCGCAGTGTGATGAATACTTCCAACCCAAGAAGTAAGGTATGGTGAAGGAACGGGTTTATAACAAATAGCAAGGGGCAGAAATGTATCATTTTTAAAAAGAAAACCCTTCCAAATACTCTGTGCACACACAATAGGGACAACCTCATAGGAGTAATTTGTATTTTCCATCTTGTGATTTAAGGTAGGTTCTTTTATGGAACTATTTCTCCTGATTTTTAAAATCCTATTATACGTGTGCCTTCTCACTTTTTTAAGGTTGTCAAAACCATTGTTTTATATGTTTATAATGAGACAGTCCCAGTTAGAATAGAAAAGCTTCTTTTGCTGCATTCTGCCATTGTAGCAAAGCTATGACACGGTGCAGGGATGGTTACACAGCTTTTGGCAGCACGAGTCCCCTCACACCTCTGCATCCTCTGCTCAGCTTCTAAGGGATGGAAATCTCATTTAATTAAGTTGGCAAGAGTATTGATTATAAATTTGAATGTGTTTTGTGTTTTGAAAGAAGAGAAGCTGACTAGTGGGGAATGACTGTTTGGATGGAATGGCAGTTCACTTCCTTTGTGAACATTGCACTGAGCTGACAGCTTCACCTGTGTGCCTGAAATCTCTCTGTCCTGCTGTTGCAGATTGGTCTCTTTGATCTGGAGGTGAACTGTCTCACCAAGATCCTGTTTGGGGCTCTGGTGGTGGTGTCCCTGGTCATGGTGGCCCTTCAGCACTTTGCAGGCCGTTGGTACCTGCAGATCATCAGATTCCTGCTGCTGTTCTCCAACATCATTCCCATCAGGTGAGGGGACAGCTGGCACTGCCTGCTGGGCTGTTCCTCCTTCCTTCCAGCTCAGACAGGCCCCTGAGCTCTTACCTGTTCCTCATTCCACAGCTGAGCAAGGCTAGGAGGAGAAATAAAGTTACTGTTCAAACATAACCATGGCTTTGCTGTTTCTGCTGAATTTGTGCAGCTTATTAACCCATTCACTGCCTCAGGCTGTGGGTTAGGCATTTAAATTCCCTTCTCTCAGTGTTTGGATTAGCTAGTTACTGTGATAACTGCAAAGCAAAAAATGGAAAAGGAGAGTGTTTTATATGGAATGTAATGTATTATGCATTTAGAGGGCAATGAAACTTTAATATAAAATTGTACTGTATTAGTAAGTAGATTAGTAACTTACTTTGGGTGCAGGACTGGGATTCATTTCAGCTCCATTTTTAATCTGCTCTCTGGTATCCATCACTGTCCTTAGTCTGTGTCCACCTTCCCCTCAAATCATATCTACTCTTCTCACTGTAATTTTCTCATCTGTCTCTGAATTACAGTGTAATTACATTTGCCACCAGGGCACTGACTTTGAATAAACTTCTCCTGAAACTCTCCTTTGGCACCTCAGGTTCACTGTGGAATTCGTTGTCCTTTCATTGCACTGTGGCAGTTCACAAGGATTTTTTTTTTCACAAGGATTTTCCAAAGTTTACCTGGTGATATTTTTATTTTCCTTTCTCTCTTTCCTCCTGTGCAGTTTACGTGTGAATCTGGACATGGGGAAGATCGTGTACAGCTGGGTGATCCGCAGAGATTCCAAAATCCCTGGCACTGTGGTTCGCTCCAGCACCATCCCTGAGCAGCTGGGCAGGATTTCCTATTTGCTTACAGACAAAACAGGTATTGGTGCAGAAAATACAGCTTTGGGTCATGGCATGTTGTGTGGATTTTGTTGTGGTTTTGGCCAGGAAAAGTGGACAGTGTGAGATTTCTTGGGACTGGAAGAAGTGTGCATTTCCTGTCACTTTGGCAATATGATTTAATCAGTTTTTGAAATAAAGTTCTGCTTTTTTCTGTTCTGAATGTGCTATAGGTAAGGTAGGACAGGAATATTATACTACTTGAAGGAATAGTTAAAGCATGCTATTAAAAGAGAAGCTGAAAGTAAAAATAAAATCAGCTTTTTAGAGCTAGTTTTCAAAGCCAGGTTAGGATAACTTACATATAGAGGCAGAAGCTGTCTGCTGCTTTAGCTGTCCTTAGACTTTTGAAGCTGAGCTTTAATTGAAGGCCTGAGCTGTAATGAAAAGCTTGGTCTGACTTGAAATCCTGGTCTTACTGGAGTAATTTCCAATTTTTTTTTTTTTGTTCCAGTGGGACCAGAGCTATAGTTGCAGCTCCTGCTGGCATTGACTTTGGGGTGAATCTCATTCTTATTTATACACCCCCTCTTCCCAGGAGAGTCAGCCCTTGGGTTTGTTAATATTGGGGTTTTTTTGCAGTCTGGACAGGCTGGGAGTGGTGCAGTGACCCAGATTCAGATTCTCTGTGCTCGAGGCACAGCCAGGACAGGGGGTGTGCTGGGGAATGGGGGTGTAGTTCCCACTCCATGGTGCTGCTTTTCCCAGGGACTCTCACCCAGAACGAGATGGTTTTCAAGAGACTCCACCTGGGCACGGTGGCCTATGGCCTGGACTCCATGGATGAGGTGCAGAGCCACATCTTCAGCATCTACACACAGGTACAATTAACTGCATTCCCTGCTCCCAAAAAAAAGTTTTCCACATCACTGGGTTACTGGTGAATGAATTGTGGTAGGGATCTGCTTATGAGCTGCTTTTGGGAAAGTGTGAGTGCTTAATGCATAAATAATGTTGTGATTGCTCGTTATGCTCTGGGGGTTGTTTCACATCACATACAGATGTGTGTGCCTGTGTCCCGTTGCTGAGGTCTAAAATAACTTTTATTTAGATATCCAGCTATCTCTTTTCTTTCTCCTTCCTAGCATTTGCTTCTTCTCTTGGTGGTGAGACCCTTAAATGACAGAACTGTATTTAAAAAAAACAAAACAAAACCACCCCCAGACTTCAGCTTTTTTCCCTTTGTTTTATACTGACTCTTGTGAGAAAACTTGACTCCTGGTTAATTATTTGCCCAAGTGTCCAATATTTGTCAGGAACATTTGGGTGACTGACTACTCCAGTGTGTGAGCAGTGACTGAGTGCACTCAGCTCAGGCTTTGCTGCTGGGTTTTGGCAGCAGTGCTGATGAGCAGTGATAGTAAATTTGAAGATCTTATGGGTCCTAATCACTAGTGTGGAAAATTACATGTGGAATTAGCCTGGTAATGGATATGTCTTATAAAACCTTCAAGTGAGAGTCTTTATAATGAGAAGCATTTGCTGGCCATGATTCATTTCAAACTGTAGTTCTTATTCTTTGCTCTTATTTTTACCATGTTGTGGCCCTTTGACCTGGAAGTGAAACTTTTGTCCTCTTGACACTAAAGGTTAACAGAGCAGGAAACTGGATCACTGTGTGTCCCTTCTTCAACTGGGATAATTTAGTAATTGTGCAATTATCTGAAGACTCCCATTCTGATACTAAAAATAGTATTAAAAAATAAATGAATGCAATTAAGATTTTCTAGCTCCATACGAGTCATCTGTTTTGTGTTTTCACCAATTATATTCTCTTGCATGTCAAACCCAAGTGACTCTAAGCTTCCCAAACCACTGGTCTTTTGTGGAGTAAAAAAGTGGTTTCTCTGAGTCTTTTGAGGTTGGTGTGTCACTCTTTTTCTTGAGAGTGACCAAGAGGCAGTGAGACCTTTTATCTCCTTTGGACAGTATCAGATTGGATGTACTCTCAATTGGTAATCATATACAACTATCTATTCCAGCACAGATAACCATTAAGATAAATAAAATACAGTCTTGAAGCATATAAGTGGTTCCCTTTGGACACTGGTGTCCTGGTAGAACAAATAATCTAGGAAGATTAAAAAAATGTATATTTTAATAGATAAATATGGGATTTGTTTTGTTCCCTTTTCTTGGGCTAATCTGATATGTGTTGTGTCATGTTTCCCATTGATTTCAGATTTCTTTCTTCACTGCTTGACTACTGTCAATACTACTAATGTATCTACTAGTTATAGTCAGTTATTTGTGCTTTTCAGCCTCAAAGGCAGAGGGATAGAAGGAGCAGGGAAATGGAAGTACAGATGGACTGGATTTGCAGTAAAGGGGCTTTTTCTTGGTGTACTGTCCCAAAATGTAGGTGGATCTTCTGGAGCTGAGTGAGGCTGTGAGCAGAGCGTGCCTGGTTT